ATAGCTGTTTCCAACTCATACCGTTTGGCAAAGTTGGACTGCTGATACACACCTAATAGATAGTCCCACACGTCCTTAGCAGTACTGTATTTGGAAAACATGATTCCAATACGGTCATCCACAGAAACCAGGTCAGAACTTGGGCATTATCACAATCCCAAATGTCACAGAAAGTCAGATATCCTTCTTGTTTCGGGTCCAATGGACGAGGAACATAACCAGAAACATAACCTCATTTTTTGTGACTAAGAAGAAAATTCTTTATAACACTAGCCCAATAAACATAATTGGCACCAGTAAGTTTACATCTGATGGCTTGAATTTTGGTGTCCGTCATTATAATAGAGCAGGGATAGATTAAAGAGAGAATTAATAGGCCAAAGAGTAATAACCAGAGAGAGACTGAACACAAATAAATGAACACGGAGAGAGAGAGAGACTGAGAGAGAAATATATGAACACAGAGAGAGAGAGAGACGAAAAACCCTTGCGATCAAGTCAGAGGCCAACAGACAGGACGAACGACGATGATCGACAACGCAATTCGACCGACAACCAAGTCTGAGGGAAAGAGAGAGGTCGCAAACCAAATGGAGCCAAGGAGAAGACTTACGACGGATGATAGATGAAGCACAGAGCTTCGATCAACAACCAGGTCTGAGAGGAGAGAGATCGACGGCGCTAGGCTTTGATACCATGTAAGTTTTCTATATATTCAACTTGTATCAATTACATCAAGACCGTAGTTTATATAACCCTAACCCCTAAGCCAAAAAAGAAATACAGAATCACGCACACAATCATGCCTAATATATATATACACAATCATCCCTAATATGTACACAATCATGCCTATATACGATTATATTCTCATAGGTGGCAATGGTCATGGAGGAGGAGGGAGAGCCTACGGTGTGAGGGATACAACAGTGGTGAGTGATGGGATGGGTTGGATACAAATGACTTTTTACCTATATTTTTTTTTTGATATATCGATAAAAAAGTTTCCATAATTGACTTTAAAAAGAAACTTGTTCATCTGATGGAGTTAATTGTTTTAAATTTTTTATTTATTGGTTTAAGCGTAATAATCCCTTAAAATTATAAATGATTCTTAATATTGGTTTTTGTGCTAGTGTTTTCTGGTAAACATGCTTTGGTTTTTTATAGTTATTATAATTTTTAGCCGTATGTTTGTAGATATAGTTTATTCCTTTTAGGGCAAATTACATATACCTCCCTCGAGATTTAGTTAAATTACAGATACCCCCTGAGGTTTCGGAAATTACAGATACCCCCCTGAAGTTTATATTTTCATAACAATTTGCCCCCTGAGGTTTATATTTTCATAACAATTTGCCCCCTAATTTGTTATGCTAATAGTACCTTCAGGGAGGTATCTGTAATTTCTCAAACCTCAGGGGGGTATCTGTAATTTTGCTAAACCTCGAGGGGGTATATGTAATTTGCCCTTGTTTTTAAATTATTTATTGCTTTACTTGGCTCGACAGAGTATTATATTCCAACTAGTCGGAGGTAATATTCCTTGAATTCTATTTTTCCACATCATCAGTCATCATGTCATATTTCATCTTCTAAACCAACTTCTTGTTTTGTTCACTGTTCCTCATGTACATGTTACGCAAACCATATTTGTTCTTGTTGGTGCATTTGTTGTTGGTCTTGTGGCACAAGTTTGAACTATCTTAAATGAGTTACACTCGTCCTTAGGGATGATGCGATGTAGCATGGTTTTCATGAGTAATATTTTTGAACACACGGCAAAATAATTTGATGATCTGTATAGTTTTTAAAACAGTTATGAGATAGAGATGAAATACAGAAGACAGAACACAGGAGAACAGGGAGAATAATATAGGAGAAGAACATAAATAGGAGAGAGAGAGATCTCAAGAAAGTCAAAGACAAGCAAGGAGAAGATACAAGAAAAAGAATAGAGATGTGATAGAGGAGATATGAGAGAATAGAAAGACATGAATAGTAAAGAGGAGAGAGGGAGATAAAAAAGAGAGAGACAACAAGAGAGAAATGTAGAGAGGAGAAGAGAATACCTAAGAAGCCAAGAAGAAAGCACAAAATATATTAATAAGAAGATGAGAGAGGGCACAAATTCTATCACTTAATTTTTGAATTGTATTAATATGGAGACTGAATTTGTTTACAACAATATAACCTATTTATAAGCTTAAGAGAACTTTAATAACTTGAAGAAGCCTTGTAAAACTCTTTCTACCCAACATAGATATCTAATAGAGCTTAAATTCTATCATTGAAGTCACTCAAGTCCTAAAAGGAAAAAAATACAATGTCATCTGAAAGACTCATAATAACACTAATTACTTAAAACTATTGTTCAACTAGCAGTTTCACGAGATTTTGAAAAAATTGGCAAAACAAGCCATTCAATAAAGTTGGACACAAAAAAATATTAGATGTGTATTTTTTCAGTTAAATTGGCATTTACGATCTAGAAGGTAAATGAAAGACAAAGCAATTGTAAGATTTTGTACCTTTGAGCAAAAAAGTTTACGTTGCAAAATCATTGAAACAACTAACTAATAGCACACTTTTGAACCTCAAGGCCTAATAGTCACAATTGATAGAGTTAGAAGTGGAAAGGAGATGAAGCAAAGACAGAGAAAGAGAAAGAGAAAGAGAAAGAGAAAGAGAAAGAGAAAGCGTAGTACAAAAATAGGGATTTGAGAATAATCCTACCAATTGATAGACCCATGTATTTGTGTGAAATAGTCTGAAAAATACCCTTATTCTAGAAATAACATCAACAACGCACCCCCTCAATTTGGTGCACATATGCCTCTCACACCCAACTTAAATGTAAGAGAATGACAAAAGCTACTAGCATGACTTTTCGTAAGAACATCTGCAAGTTGATTTTCAGATTTCACTAACGGTGTACAAATCAAACCTTTATCCAATTTTTCCTTAGTGAAATGATGATCATTTGTAACATGTTTGGTCTTGTCTTGTTGAATAGGATTATGAGCAATGTTGATAGCAGTTTTATGGTCATGATATAGTTTTGTAGGACTATCACACGTCAAGCACAAGTCTTTCAATAGAATTTGAAGTCACAAAAGTTCACAGATCTCCTGTGCTATAGCCTTGTATTCAACTTTGGCACTAGATTGAACAACAACTTCCTTCCTTCTTGCTTCTCCAAGTGACAAGGTTCCCTCTAACAAAGGTACAAATTGTTCAATAGCTAGAGGTTGAAGTTTATCATCTATAGACCTTGCCCAATCTGCATTAGCAAAGGCTTTGACCTTCAACTGTCCTTGGTTAGAAAATAATAGCCCTTTTCCCGGAGTTGAATCGAGGTTCTCAAAATTTGGAAAACTGTCTCTGGTTGAGTTTTGTGAGATTTTTCATGAATTGACTTACAACACTCACTGCATAAGCCATAGCAGGATGTTTGTGAGACAAATACATAAGCTTTCCTACCAACCTCTGATACCGCTCCCTGTTTATTGGATCACCATCTTCGCCTTTAAGCCAATGGTTGGCCTCAATACGAGTAGTGACTGTTCTACATCCTAACATACCTGTTTTTCTTTTTTAGGAGATCAATAACATATTTTCGCTGAGAAAAAAAGAACTTTTTTTATACATAGCAACTTCTATTCCAAGAAAATAACAGAGTAGACCTAAAAGGGGTACTTTTAGTTTTTGCTTCTGATTATAAGCATTTAGCTTGCAAGAAGCTGCACCAAACAAGCCTATTACTATAGTTGTGCATTCAAGGTCTAAAAGATTTGGTTTTTTTTCTTGCTTTGTTGTTGTTTCTTTCCCTCCTACCAAAAAATATAAAATAAAATGATTCCCAGTTTTTGTATTGTTAAAAAATATTGTTTAGGTTGAAGACTTTACAAGGTCTAGAGGGAATTTTGAGGAGGAAATCTGATGAATTAACAACAATTGACTTGGTGACTTCAGATTAGCTTGAAATATAACTTTTAAATTATAATGAAATGCAAAAGGGGCATCATTTAATGTAGTTGAGTCAATTAAATTTCAGTCATCACTAAGGATATTCAGCACACTCAGTCACACACACACACACACACACACCTCACATCCAAGAAGCATGGATACGAACATGTGACTCGACAAATTTCAAAATATGTAGGACAACTGCACACAAAATGTATAGTTTTATATATTTGTTATATGTCATATATATATATATATAAATATTTTGTTAAAAAAATGTAGCATAACACTAGTTCCTAAAATTTAAAGAAGGATGGATTAATAGGTATAAATCTACATTTGTTTTTTTTATCATTGTGTTCTTTATGTTATTTTGTTCAAACTTTTAACGTGTTTCATGTGTGTCTAAACGATGAACACGTTTGGACATGTGTCCAACACGTGTTGGGAAGTGTTTGAGGGAAAGACTAATGGGGTTGGGAAAGGGAGGCAAAGGGGAAATTTTCCTTTTTTGGTAGATGGAACGAGAAGGAAAGAGAGAGAATGAAAGTAAATCACTCTTAAGCCCAAAATTTCACTTGGCCAGAAGTAGATAAAACGAGGTACTGCAGAAGGAAACTTTTGTTTTCACTTCTTTGGCACACCATTTGCCTTTCTTACTTTTTCTTGTTCAACCAAACACATGGAGGAAAGTTGACATCCTTTTCCTATAGTACCTTTTTGGCTCTCTTGTATTATTTTCCATTTCTCCTACCAAGTGGAGCCTAAAGATGTTCCCATGAACTCTTTTTCTAATTTTCATTGATAAATATGATTTGTTGTAGAAAATAAAGTTAGCATTTTGATTTGGGCGTAGGTATTCTATTGTCTTTATTTTGAAATGCACTACATTGTCATTTTATTTATGCTTTTTAAAATGTTCTCTTCTTGAGTATGTTGAGAATTTCATGAACTTTTAACTTAATTTATTAACCCTCTGCTGAAATTCATGCCTTTGTTTTTCTAACCTGTCTGCCATCAAACACCAGGTATATATGCTGGTGATGGAAAGGTGATCCACTTCACTCGGGGGGGTGGCCATGAGATAGGCACAGGAACGGTGTTGGACCGCATAATTTTCAGCTCATCTTCCTCGAATCCTTCGGGCACTCCATGTCCACAATGCGGTGATCAATCAAGGCTTGATGGTGTCATATCTTCTTGCCTTGAATGTTTTCTTTGTGGTGGCGAACTCTACCTCTTTCAGTATGCTGTCTCACCAGTTTTCTTTCTTGCCAAAGCTCGAGGAGGGACTTGCACCCTTGCTGCTTCTGACCCACCAGAGGATGTCCTCCACCGTGCTGAATACCTACTGAAGAATGGTTTTGGTGGCTATAACATCTTTAAGAATAATTGTGAGGACTTTGCAATATACTGTAAGACTGGTTTACTTGTCTTCACTACCATTTCTGTTGGTCGGAGTGGACAAGCGGCATCCTTTCTAGCTGCAACTAGTGCTATTGTTTCTTCACCACTTCGCTTCCTGACAAGCAGTGTTCCTGGTTTGGCTGCTGTGGGCTGTGGGTTGTATTGTCTTAGCCGTTTTATCTCTGATATTGGAGTACGTCGTGATGTGACTAAAGTTCCAGTCGAGAGGCTTGTTGCTTGCTCCGGCTTGGATGAGTCAATGGCTGCAACTGAGGTGGCCAAGACAGACTAAATTTGTGACATGGACAAAAATTTACAAGTAGGTTGCCTTTATTGAATGTTTGTTATGATAGATGTTCTAATTTTTTGTTCATTGTGTTTATGCTTTCCCTGTGTTGAATGTGATCATGATATGGTTGGAAATATGTTCCTCATTTCATGCTTGTAGCTTTATTTATACCTTGATGCAATTTATAATTAACTATAGTTTCCTTGTTTCTTTTATCTTTTTCTAGGCTGCTATGGATTTGTACTATGTAATGCAAGTATGTGATTGATAATTTTAATGTGCCTACATTGTTCTATTTCAAGTTTCCAGTTTTTCCTGTTTGTATTTAATTTTTAAATGCCTCTTTTATCGTATCTTAAAGCTCACAATCTTCTTGGGATACCTTGCCTTTGGATGTTACTTAAGCTACACAAGTTTTGAATGACCATTGAGACATGTAATCTGATGCATGCATGTACTGTTATAAAATATCTTCTTACATGCATGTGGTAGACCATGGTGATACCTTGATGTGGCACAGATTGAATTGGCCTAATGGCTGATATGTCAACTGACAGTTTATCTAACAGTACAGCAGTACCATAAGTTACTTCTATTAAGCAAATTGTAAGAATTCAATTTGCGGAGTTTTGGAGGGGGAAAAATAGGTTGGGAGTAACTATCTTGAAGTACCTAATGCAGATATGTGAGGAGCAAGGGGGAAAAAAAATTAAGCAGCAGCTAAGTTTGGACATGTGTTGGTTTCAAGGTGAACTCAATTGGGGATAATTGGAAACATACATAATTAAAATTTAAGGCTTAGTAGAGTCTTATATTATGATTATTTAGGCTATGCATTAATTTGATTAGTTTTCTATATGATTATAGCTCGAGTATTTTGATCATTGTAGAATTTCTTGACATGGGCTGTAGAGGTCACACATGAATAGTAATATGGGTTATGTAAGGTTTTAGAGGATATGATTATTCAGTATTCTTAAAGTATGGATACGTGGTGTTCCATAAGGTTTTGATTGGTAGAGAGGAAGAGGGGCTCATGATTTATATTGGGGATAGGGGAACAACATGGGGGCTAAGTAGTGATTGGCTGGTGTTCCGGGATTACTAAATAATTTCTCGGCTTTAGAAGGTAAGTCTAGTTTCATATTTAAAAATCCTAGTTAATTGGTGTAGGAACTGGGAAGTCTTTTTAAGTTTGTATAAAAGCAATGTAATGCCATTAATTCAATAGAGGACATTTTTGGATAATTTCATGAAGTTTTTGAAGCTCTTCTATGGATTGTGTGATGCTATCAAACCCTAGGTGATATCCCTAAGGTTTTTAGGAGTGATTCTTAAAGTTTTCTTCTTCTTCCTTCTTAATTTTCTGCATTTTGCCTTCAGCATCAACAAAACTAGATATAAACCATCATTTCCACCATTAAATACAAGCTTTTCAGTTTCTCTCAACTTTCTCACTCATCCTAGAAATTTTGCTTTCAACATCAACAAAACTAGGTATGAACCGTCATTTCCACGATTAAATACAAGCTTTTCAATTTTCTCTCAACTTTACTATTCACAATGCAGGATCATCCCAAACAGTCCCCAAAATTATGAATTTTCATGATCAAAACTCTACCCTTTTGGTTGCAATAGATAAATCCTAAAACCTCTATGTTGTTACCACCTTTTCAGCTACAAAAATTATCTAAAATTAGCCTATAAGCCTACTTTTCTACTGAGAACCATATTAGTTTCAGGTTCAGTAGTAGTTGGAGAGTGTCATCAGTACTTTGCAAAATGGATAAATGATTAATTAAGGAACTGAACATTTAATGGAGTATATGAGATGATATGGAGTTCTTCTACAGTAGTCACGGATACTTTTATTATTTACATGGGACAACACTTATTTACACACAAAAGTGAGCTAGAACATGACTTCGGTGGGGCATGAATGGATAGGAATGTAAATGGCTTAAAACATTTTGAAGTGTTTTATTTATTTATTTTAATATATACATTGAAGTTTGTAATTTAGTGAAAGGAAATTCTTATTTGTGACAGACTTGAATCCTTAGGCTGCATTTTGGATCATGGCTTTAAGTAGGGAGTTAGAAAAGAGAAGAAAAATTATAGGTGAAATGTGAATGAAATATAATTATAATTTACCTATATTTTACCCACTTTTTTTTTTTTTTCCTTTCTAAATTTACAATAATGCTTTGGACCCCGTACGGACGACCCCCAGCGACTCTCAGTGCCACGTGTCGGCCTGGGATTGGCTGGAAACACAAAAAAAAAAAAAAACAATTTTTTTTGCCCAATCACGGACGACCCCTAGCACCCCCAGCTGGGGGTCTAAGTCATTTTTGCTAAATTTATAATCTAAATACAGTTTTAATCTTTTTGTTAAAATGCAGAGATTTTGATAAACCATAATAGAAAAATTTTGAACTTTTAAATCTATAGTTAAAAGGTGTAGCCACGACTTATACACAAAGAAAGAAATTATTGAACGGGCAATGGTAGAGCAGTTTTGAGCCATTTGAGCCACAGAAATTGTGGCTCTCAAACATTGTTCTTATTGAACGGTTCTACTAACAAGTGCCTTGGAGGCAATGGTTTAGCAGTCATAATATGGTATTGGATAAATTTTGAATTAATTAAATTACAATTAATAATAATTTTAAAAAATAAAATGAACAGTATTTAATGCAATTATGTCATTATTTTTTTTAGAAAAAAAAAATATATATGATATAATATTCCTGGACCATTAGTTAAAGAGTTGGGCTATTTTCAAGTTGAAATATGAACCTTAGAGAACTTTTCGGCCTATGAGGCTTCCTAAGGACTTTATTTTGATAATTTGAATCGTTAATTTTTTAAGGCTTTCCGTACATATTATTGTTAGCAAAAATTTAGTTTGGGTCAAATTGACAGCGTAGATTCTATAGAAAAATTAATTTTATAAACAACAACTAAATTAAGCAATTGTGATTGAAGAGTTTTATGCCTTGACAGATTTAAAGATTTTTTTGGAGGTTATCGACAAAGAGAAATAAACAAAAAAGTAATATTTTGTATTGCTAAAATTGTTACTTGTTACAAAGATTTAAATAAGAACAAAAACAAAAATACAAAAAAATCAAAAAGAAATTTACTAATTACAAGAACTAAAAAACCATTATAGATTCACTAAATTAAAACTACTCCTATGATGTTAAACTACTCTCAAAGAAATGCTACTCCTACGGATCTATTTTAACTAATTCATGTTGAGTGTTGATGATTTATTGATCCTTCTGTTCGTCTTCTTCTAGACAATTTATAGGCTTCGAACTTCAAGCCACTGCACTAGGCAAATTTTTAATTCATATGCAAAGTTAATGGAACTACTACTACTCTCTCATTTATGCCACACATTGCACCATGCACTAGCCCACTTGATACTATTTGCAAAGTGGTTGCTACGTATCCTCCATTAACTTCCACACCACTTTCTTATTAACGTCCATCAACTCATGTTTCCACAATAGTCACGATTTTTGCTGCATATTACCATTTCTCCGTTTGTGATGCCATTACTTAATTACCAGATGGTTTGAATGATACAAAAACAGTAAGATTAATAATAATAATAATAATAAAATATGACGATAGAAAATCTTTAAAAATGGTCATGATCTGAATTGATAGATCACAATTGATAGGTCACAATCAATAACATTAGATTTGATCATAATTGACAAGTTATAATCAATTAAACGAAACTTTGTCATAATTAATAAATTATTTGTGATTTATAATTACATATAAAAAAAATTAAATTAATTTAATAATCGTAATGATTTTTATTTACTCCCAACTAGCTTTAATAGTTATCTTAAAGGATCTTTGGTCAAACCCCTTCTTGAGAGCCGTGTGTTGTGATAAGAATAACAAGTTATTTTATAATTTGTAAAGTACTCCAAAAACTCAAGCATCCTTCATCCAGGACAAAATTTTCCGTAGGACTATTTTTAAGACAATTTTGCCCAACATCATAGCTTCGACGTCCAGTACATAAATATCTCCATCATTTTGATCCAGGTATCGAACATGAATAGTAAATTAAGAAACTATCATCATCTTTGATCCCAGTGTTCCATTTGAATAGTTGAGAGGGTAATTTATATAAAAATTGGGCCGAGCTGGGTAATGAGCCGTTATGGGCCACAGTACGAAGGGCTGAGTAAAAAAGCAATAAAGTTACTCCGGTCCAAAGGGCTTAAAGTTACTCCGGTCTAAAAGAGGTTTGAAGTTACTCTGATCCCAAAGAGCATACAGTAAGCTTGGTCATCACACAAAGTTATCCCGGTCGGGACCATGTTATTGGTTATCCCGGTCGAGACATACCATGGTTAGCACTGGGAGAAACCGGGGTAAGAACAGTGAATGGAAGAGCCGAGCTAAAGTTAGCTCGGTCTAGTCTGCGGCTTAGCATAGCCATGCTTACCTTGGTCATATTGGAATTCGACCATGATAAAACCATCTCACTTGATTTAAGCAGTGGGAGGGTGTTGAAAGATAAGCATTATCTTTCAGGAGTATGAGTCCTAGGAGGACTCTACATGGAGGAGTAAGAGTCCTACTAGGATTGTGTCACACAGAACCTATAAAAGCTCACAACATCTGGAGAGGTAACACAACTTTGATTTTCGAATACATAGAGCTTTTGTCTATTTGTCTATTTTGCTGACTTAGGCATCGGAGGGGTATCCAGTACACACTCGCCGGCTAGCTCACATTTGTGTTTTCAGGGAGTAAAGCAACGACGTACGGAGGAGCGCAAACTAGATCAACAGGATTATACGAGAAGGTTTATTTCTTTCTCGTGCAATTGGCGCCAACTGTGGGAAAACCAGACAAAGAACAAAACCTCTTGATCAAGTTTCCCTCGCTAATTGAATGGCGCACAACGAAGATTTGTCACAGTCCGCCATCGACGGACAAACCCCAGAAGGGGGTGGGAGGCGAGAAGGATTGCCTTCTATCCCTCCTATGGCGGACTTAGAGCCCCAGCGACAGAATCCCCGGAGGGATACAAGGGAGAGGCGAAACAGCAGCCCCCGTCGTTCTCGCTCACAGAGTCCTGAAAGGCAAAGACGAAGAATCGACCCTCAAGCTTTGGAGGATCGCGTAAAAGAGCAAGACGAATTGATAAGGAAGATGGCGGCGGACATGGAGGCCATGAAGCGCCAGATCAAGGGAAAAGAGGTGGTGACGAGAGAGGGGCGCAAAGGCAATATATCGCCTCGCCACTCTGAA